AACCTGAAACCTGCTAGGATTTCTAATTCTCAGAATGGCTTTGCTGTATAGGTTGAAAAGGTCTAGCGAGAAGACACATTGTTGCCTTACACTTTCTTTTATTTTTGTATATTTATTGAACTCCTTTCCTATCCGCAGTCAGGCAGTTTGCTGTTAATATATCTTCTGGATTATTCTAATATCTTTCCCACACTCTCTAAATGTTCAATTAAAAGAAAATTAATATCTTTATTAAGTAAGGATATTTTTAAAAGAAGACATCAGTATAAATTAGATTGAAGAATCCCACTATATAATAAATGTTTTTTGGTAGATGTTTTATTACAAAAGGAGCATGTTGGAAGCTGATGGTCTTGACAATTATTGGAGTCCTGGCATTTATAATATGAGATGTGCACATCATACAAGCTGTACACAAACATAAATATTTGCCAGTTTTTGTAGAATTTGATGCTTGACTCATTGATGAGGAAATGAATTACATGTGCTACATTCAAAGCCAAACAGATTTTTAAAAAACACCAATTCTTTTTCTAAAAAGGTGGATTTAGTTGGTGTCTAAGACATTAAACTGATCTTATTCTCACCTAGAATCTTGGAACAACCATGAAAGTCTGTGTTGGGATCCATCTACCCAGGTTTTTATTAGTTAGAAAATAATTTCACGCTGGCTCGTGAAAATCTTTTTCTCAAATTTGCGAAAGTAGTGATGGGTGTTATTATTGTTCTTTTCTAAATGGACCAAAAATAACATGTGGTAGGTCTACAATTACATCCACCAAGCATTTTGACAGTATTTGCCCTAGTAGTAGTATAGCTGGCCACTCATACTCGAGGATACCTGCCTACTAGGTTGGCTAGCTAATCCCTATTGCATTCACTTGCTCAGGCACATTTGTGTTTGTTCAACACCCACAGAGCCCCCCCCTGTGGTTTATACTGCAACTATGCTGAGCAGACCTTACTTACAGTTTCTGGGAATGAGCGTATTATCTAGCATGATCAACAATTTGAACAAGGCCAGCACGCTCAAGCCCTCAGCCACAATGACTTGTGACTTCATGCTAGCACAGCTATCGACAGCTAACACGGGTTCAGTCTACCCAATTTCACTCACAAGGCTTGAGTCAACCCATGGTATGGTTTTCAGGCACTTTCCAAAGGTGTGACATGCTGGGATTGACCCCTCCAGTCCAATAACATCAGGAAGTTCCTTTACTGACAAATTAAACATGGTGAGATTCAAACCTCAGGTCTCATGGTCAGAATGCGAACATTCTAACCACTCGTGTATGTGCCCCTTATTTGCCCTAGTAATGATTGTTTATCCAACAAACCTTCTGATAGGATTTTATTGGTTTTTATATATATATATATATATATATATATATATATATATATATATATATATATATTTTAGTTCCTATAACTGTGTGAGGTGGAACATCCTCTTGAAATTGGTCATAGAATAGCAGCATTTATACCAGCATTTGAATAATTGGTGAGGTTTTGTAGGAATTAAAACCTGAACACCAAATATTAAGAAATATATTATTTAAAAGTAAATTGAATTTCATAAAGGCTTCTCTTTTTGAATCAATGGCAAAATCTTGATAGCACATTGCTTGCAAAATGTTTGTTTTATTATCCAATCTAGCATTCAGTAGAACTCAACTAAATGAGATTGTCTTTGTGTTTAGGAAAATTTTTGGCTTTTAAATGACTGAAAGAAAATTAGAAAGACTACAAACCTTTATCTACCTTTTCAGTTATAAGGATGTAAAAATATTTCATTACAAGATAAATATTTTAATAGCTATTTGTAACTTTAAATGATTTTAGAATTGCCTTTATATTATTATCTTTTCATTTGCTGCCCATAGTAATGTTTACTGTTTGCTTCATATTTATATTTTGTAATATTTATTTTTCTATTTGTTAGTGACTGATTGAGAGTCTTGAAATCATTTATCTTTGAGAAATGATGAGTCAACCTTAGCTAATGAGAATGAAAGATCTTAGAACTTGACTGGATTGAATTCTAATCTTGAGATGCCAATTAAGATGTTTTATTGTTTGAAATGAATTACTTTTCTGATGAGTTTTTAAAGAAAATCATAAGATTTTTTTTTATTATTTAATACCAAATTAGACTAAAGTTTAAGTATTATATTAAAAATATTTTTTTTTAATTTTTATATAAATCTTTTCTACAACCTTCATTTTGAGAGTTGTTCTTCATTATAAAACTATTCTATGTTGGCAATTCTTTTCCTCTCCCACCACTTAAAGATAAAAATTACTTGTGTGTGTGTGTGTGTGTGTGTGTATATATGTCATCTACAAACAGACTGTTTCACTGTATCACAGCTCATCAGTTTTGCTGTTTCACAGATCATCACTGTATGTGTGTGTATGTACGTATATATATATATATATATATATATATATATATATATATATATATACACACACACACACTATGGGCACATGGCCAAGTGGTTAGAACATTGCATTCTGACCATGAGAACCAGGAGAATTTGCTGCCTAAATACACAAATGTGTGTGTGTGTTCTGTCTACCCAATGTTAAGATAGAGGCTGGATAGATTCATGTGACTCTTAATTACCTTGGTCATTTTGACAGTTTTATTGGTTCCTTGGAAGGGGATGTGTTTGTGTTAAATGTATGTTATCATTTAGTTATTTTGGAGTCTGTAGATGTGTGAAAGTGTATATATTAGTATGGGTGTGTGTATAAGTGTAAGACCTCAACACCTCCATAAGCATGTCTGTCTTGTTTGGGTGAGAAATGTGGGTAGGGCTTGATTTATGGGGTTATATATTAATTCTATCTATATTGTTAAATTTGTGATTAAGCCTGTCTGGATGGAGTGTTTTGAGGTGCAAAATACATTTGTCTTTTAGAATTTTTCTAATGTTATCTTTTCTGTCCTTTTCTAATTTTCAATTATAGTGAATTTGGCATGGCTTTTAAAATCATGTTTTTCTAAGCGGAAATGTTGTCCTACAGGTAATAATCTTTTGTAGGGAGCCGACTTAATTTGATTATGATAATTATTAATTCTGTCATTCAAAGTCATTCAAATTTTCCCATATATTGTTTTTGGCATAGTGTACATTCTAAGAGGTAAATTGTTATGACTTCTACAATTAGAGTTGTGGTAGATTTTGAAAGTAGATTTAGTGACTGAGCTACCAAATGAATTGTTGTGTCTAATGTGGTTACAGTATAAGTTCCTTTTGTTGTTACATGATTGGGAAAATCCTGTTGTTTTTATTTTTGGTCTATTACATGTTATTTATATATATATATATATATATATATATATATATATATACACACACACATATTTATGTTGGCCACACCACAAACTCACTTTCTTGACTCTACATTTGAATGATAACTCTAACATTTTTAGGCATTTAAAACAACGTGCCTGGCCACATACACAGTTCCAGAAAATCCTTGTTTATACTTAAACATGAAAGCAATAAACAAAAGCGAAAAATTCTTGAAGCTATATACATAAAACAGTTGAAACCGAACCTGGACAAAATAAACTATGAAATCTCCACAAATATTTTTAAATGCGTATAATTGATAACAGAAGCCATTGGTTTATACCAACAGCTTCCCATACTTATTACTTCTTGTTTTCACTCTCACGTGATCATGTGTGACATCATGAGCTGTGGTGCGATTTTCGCTTCCAGCATCTCGTATACACAAGTTTGTCGTTGCTTGGAAATCTTCCATGTAAACAAAAACAGACTATCATTATTGTTTTGTCCGTGTATTGTTTAATATATTGTAATGTAATTGTCATCTTTGATAATGGCTTATGTAAGCTGAAAGTTTAAAAAATATGTATCAATATTGTGATTTTCGTCTTTTAATGATAATGTTATTAAGCTTATCAGATGATGTGAAAAGAATTTACATAAAATAAGTAGACAAAAACTTCTCTATATTTAATGAAACATGAACCTATATATATATATATATACACACACACACACTATATATATATATATATATATATATATATATATATATATATACAGATATATATATATATATATATATATATATATATATACACACACACACACACACACACACACACACTATATATATATATATATATATATATATATATACACACACACACACACACACACACATAGGCTGCTACAATTCTTTATGCTATTGATACCATCAAGACCTGATTTTTTTGAGACTCCATTTATCTTTACATTCCAGTCACTAGTAAGCTGGTTTGAAATAGTATCCTTCAATATTGTGTGAAGAAAAAGGTAAATTAATTCCTGAACCATAATAGGAAATACACAAGCCTTTACATTTTCAGATTTTACAAAGGAGGAGTAAGCATCCTTGAAATATTGATTATTCTGGACTCATGACAGTTTCTAGTTAAAAAAATTTTCATCGTAGATTTTGGCTAACAACATGAAATGTTTGAAATAATGCTTTTTTTTTCATATTCCATTCCATTCTATTCTAAGTAAAGTGAAGAAAAATCTATTTGTTTCTGTTTTATATGCCAACAATGATTTCAGTCTGGCAGTGACAAAGGTTTAGAATAAAGTTTGTTAAAGAAAAAATGAAGTATTATTGAGATAAGACAATATATCTCAATATTTCTTTAATGACTACTGTTTTCAAGTGCTCCAATTCCTTTTCCTTGAACAAAAATGATCCAGCCTCCTTTAAATTCTTTAGATTATATTAGGTCCATGTGATATTTTGGACTCTGCTGTAATCACAGCAGATTCAAACACTTTAAATATATAAATAACAACTAGCAATAAGCATAACTGAAATGAATCTAGAACAGAATCAACCATGTTTAAATTGTATTTTGTATTACAAGAGACATGTCACTTTTTCTTCGTTAGGGAAACATACTTCTGATTGATTCCTAATTATTTTTTGTTTTCTCTCATCTTTTTTAGGAATACAATTTCCTTGAGGTTAAAGACCGACAATACCTGCTGAGTTTCTACAAAAATGCCCAGAAAAGGCGCCTGGACGTGCGCAAGTATAACAACTTACGAGATGCTATATCTCAGGTGGAATACGACCTTCTGCGGTTACGAGATCCTCTTCAACTACAGCTGCCTATAGGTCACATACAAAAGCAAAAAATCCTGAGGATGGCCTCACCCCCCACTCACAAATGCCTCATAATAGCATCTGATGATTCTTTCTTATTGTTTTTCAACTACTACTACTACTACTACTACTTATGGTGTTGGTCACCGCAACTGCGATGCACCCTGACCTTGCTTCAACTAATTCATCCAAATTTCTGGTACTTTTACTCAACCTTTTTATAGTAATCATCCTTGTATTCTTTACTGTAGCATCTTGTTGCCACTTACTTACCTCAATAACAGATAATTTCTACTTTTCTTACTACTAATATTTACTACTACACCACATTGATTACTCTAAATTTACAACTTTGTTAGAAAATCAAAGAAATTAACACTAAAGTTAAACTGAAGATAAACTCCAGATAACTATGGGATGAGGAGTTTGAAATAATAATAATAATGTTTGTCATTCAGTCTGTGTATATCATTCTAAAATGTCAAGGCATTATTGGCCCAAACTCACAAGTTAGGATGAGTGTACAGTGTGACTAACAAACTTTCCATATTGCTGAGATAATCCTAATTGAAACTGTCCAGAATTAAATTAATTTAACATAATTAGTTTTCCTAATCTGAGCTGTGTTTCCCAGTGATTTACAACTTAATGTCTGACCAGGTAGAAATAAGATTTTTTTTTTGATATTTTTTTTTTTTTGCCTTCTTCAAATACTCATGTCAGACTTATCAACTCGAAAGTTGTTGGCAGGGACGTAGGGTCAGATACACAAGTCTTTATACCCTAAGGGGGGAAATGTCCATTTATAGATTGGGCAGTTTTGTACTTAGCCAACATTCATTCGTTATTTATTTATTTTTTTTTTTTATACTTGGGCAACTTTTATCAATGCAGATTTAATCAGATGATCCACAAGCATCAATTTTTCTTTCCATAAAGATCCAGATTAATTTTTCATAGATTTAAAGGATTTAGATTTTCACTTTTATTTTTTCATTTAAAAAATATATTGTTAAATAAAGTTGATTTTTTTTTTTTTTTTTTTTTTTATTTAGCTTCATATTGTGCATAAAGCCCTTTTTAAATATTTCACCACATTGTCTTTTCTAATATTACAGAAAGAGTAGTACATGAAAAGCAGGCTGACAAATTTTAAAAGCATAACCAAATACATGGGACAAAATGACAATACCATTAAGTATATTAATGACAATCATAATATAGTCCATCACTATTATACTATATAGTCAAAATCTCTTTACTCACTATTGAGTGAAGTATTTTTTCAGATGAACATTTGTTGAACTGAAGAGAAGCAGAAAAATGAACCTCTTTTTAAAATAATTATTGCTTTATTATGAATTCAGCTGTCTTTAATGTTTATTTTCTGCAATGTGAAAATTATTATTGATGTTGTTAAACAATTGGAAAAGTGTATATACAATATGAAGCCAAATAAAAAAGATTTATTTTTAAAAATGTCTTCTACCATTTTCTAGTCCCTTATTTAGAAAAATAAAATGATAGCTTTTATTTCTTTTGTTAGAAGTGTTTCCATATGCTTCTGTCAGTCATTGTACTGAAGACTTTTCTACAGCAGTTCCTCCTGTGTTAGACATTTGTACAACATTGATGCTTTGCCATGATATGCAAGGGCTCACTCACCATCTTACTGCATACAAGAGTCGATTTTACATCACTCTTTTTCAACTGAAATAGATCTGCTGATCAAGTGAATCAATTTCATGTTGTCCAGGTATAGAAATGTAGCATATATTGCACAGAATATTCCATATCTAAAATAGATCTTAGCTCTGAATAAAAGCACCCCTAAAAGACATTTTCAGGGTGAAAAAAAAAGACAGTAATATGTATTCCATGCCTTTTGTTAAGTCATCAAATCTGTTACCCATTTTCTATAGACAAAAAAAATTGTCTGTATTTTCAAGATGATGAATTGTTAAAGAGGAAGTTTCTTTGGTCTGCTTTTGTGTATGTGTGTGTGTGATCTTTATGAATGAGTCACCTGAAGCAAAAATGATTGTTACCTATTGGCACATTCAAATTTATGAAGACTACAACAAAAGTGAGTAGATCTCTGTAAGGGAAGTTTCCGGACTCAAGATTATTTGCACTTCTCAAAGAAAATCATGCAAATCATCTTTCTCAAATTGCCTACTTTGTTCTACTGTATTCAAATGATGAATAACTGTTGCTTAACAGGGATTCTACCGTGTCTTTTACTGAAGAAAGGCTTTCATTTAGATATGACTATTCATTTCTATCGTTTGATCAACTGTCCTAATATTCACATACCCCCAGTCCGAGTCCTTGTCTTTAGCTGGAATTTAAGGTTCTGATGATACAATTTACTTGAAAAATCTTTCCAGAATATCTTTCTCAAAGACAAACCAAGGGAAAAGCCAGGTTTAGGTAAAGACTGACATTAGCAGATCTTGTAAAATGAGGACAGAAGTTAACAGCTCGTTTTAAAACAGCATGATTAGTCGCTGCTGTACCCAATTGAAATGCCACAGTTGCCAGCAAAAATTGTAAAAACAGTAAATATGCAACAGAACTGAAAAAAAATCTGGATTCTTTGAGTGGATCAAAGGATCTCTACCAAAGCCAAACTTTATTAGTTCTGTTATTGCATTGTTTTTTGTTTGTTTGTTGTTGTTTGTTTTTTTTTTTTAATTCTTCCTGGGCAGAATTGGAATAGATTAAATCTTTCAAAAACTACTATATTTGGCTGGGTTGGGGAATGCATTTCATCTTTTAAGTTTTCGATTGAATAGCAACAAAAATAAAATATTAACCAGTTTCCCTTTTGGTGGAGTTTTCTTTCTTCCTCTTCCTCTCTTGCAGTTTCTTACTAAATGATAAAGAAAAAAAACTTAAAATAAAAAAGCAATGTACTAACAGATAAAAACTAACATCATTGAATTTTGAGTTTATAAACTCAAAATTTCCTGTTTAGTTGTGATTTTTTTCCCTATCAACACAGACAAAACTTAATTTCAAATGTATGAAAAACAAAATTGAAAGCCTTTATAAAAGCAAGTTGTATTTTCCTTTTAGTTTAAAAGTTGCAAAATTTAAGAACAATGTGAATGAATAAAAATAGAATTATTTAAGAACAAGCCAATCATCTCGGTGAAAATATGTCTATACACTTTTAAAATATAGAGAAAGATTGAATGTAGACGATGGTCGGATTTTAACCTGTAGCCAAGGTCGGTTCATTTTATATATAGATACAGTTTTTACCAATAGAACCATGCAAAATCTGTATTCTGTTGGTTTGTCTGGGTTTCAATCCTGCCATGTTTTCTTTAATAATGTTTGTACTGATGAACATGCTATGAAGCAATTGGGTTGTTGAAAAATAACTTCATTCCTAACATCAAGTTAATAATAATGATAATAATAATTTATTGGAAACATGAAAATAGTTTGAATCTTTTAAAAAAAAATCAACAGTAAATATTTTAGTTAGGCTTTCTACATTTCTTTATTTTATAATTGTTTTTGTACATCTTGCTTGTTGGGCTCTTTTGACAAATCATATTTTCTCTTTAATATGAGGAGTAAAAACTTCTTTTTTTTTCTCTATATCAACTGAGCATAATGTTTGTCAGTTTTTATATTTGGTCATTTGAAAACTAAATAGAAGCATGTATGCACAATTTTTCCAACCTTTTGTATATTTCCTAAAATGCCACAAGTTTTTAAAAAGTCAAAAAATAAAGTTTACTTTAAAAAAAAAAAAAAATTGAAAAAAAACTTAGTGGGGAGGGTGGATTTTTTTTCTTTCAGCATTTTTTTTCTCTCTCGACTGCATAAATAGAATTTTTTTTTACTCTGTTACAACTTGATTATTTCAATAAATATAAATCTGTATAAGCATAAAATCTATAACCAAACAGAAAAGAAAAGTCCTACAATATCCAGTAGTGGGGATTGAACCCACAGCCAGAACATATTGCTCATCCTTTCATTGGATGGTGCCATTACCTCTTGGCCACACTGGTTTTATGTCCAAATCCAGCTGCTTTTTAACTACTTACTTTGTTTGTAAATGATTGAGGTTTGGGTAATCTCTTTCCTTGATTCATAATCAGTCGAGAAAGCCAAGTTGAAAGCATTTAAAACTGCTGTCAAATGCAGTTTTTTTTTTTACTTTTTTCAATAAGGCCCCTTAACAAATTTTATACAAATTTGTAATTTTTAATCATTCTTAAATTCAACTGTTTTCAATGCCAGATTTATCTTTGATAACTTTATATAAAACTAAGAAAATTTAAGTTGATAACTAATAAATTTATATCTTATATCCTAAACAACCTTTTTACTTACAAAAATCTCTGTACGCATATATATCCTAGTTGAAATGAAAGATTCTTCCAAAATATACTTCCTTTTTGTTTTTCTTTAATCAATACATGTATCTATACATATATACCTATACATACTTATATGTTCAAATTTAATAAAATATAACAAAATTCTTGAAGTGTACATTTTAAAGTTTTTTTTTTTTTTTTTTAATTCAAATAGTTAAGTATATTCTTTTGAAACAGTTAACAGTTAAATTTAAGAGATTTTCTTTCTTTCTCTCTCTGTCTCAATTAATTTTAATTTTGGGGGTATTTTTTACTCATTTTGAAAATGATTTGGTTTTGTATACTAGAATGATTGTGTGCAAAAGTGTATATTCACATGGTATTACACATGTTGTCTGTGTGTGTGTGTGTGTGTATATATATATATATATTGTGTGTAGATTATACACATACATATATTTGTTTATGCTAAACATACATGCACATATTTATATATGCATGAATGCTAATTATATATATTTGTATTTTTTATTTATACACACACACACACACACACACATATATCTATTGACTTTAGAAATATACTGCATACATGTAGTGTTTATGTACCTCTGTTATGTGTTTTTGTATTAACAGAGTACACTCAAAAATGTGACAAAGGATATATGTATCCACACTGCATATATGAGATATATTTTTATATGTAAATTACATATATATATATATATATATATATATATATATATATAGAGAGAGAGAGAGAGAGCATGTGCATTTTACATTATACCTATGTGTCTATCTTATTTGTGTACATGCACTATATATATATATATATATATATATATATAATGATAAGATAAAAGAACAAATGGCAAATGTTTATCAATCTAACATGTTTCACTTTTATTAAAGCTTCATCATAAGAGTGGAAACATGTTAGATTGATAAATGTTTCCTGTTTGTT